AAAAAAAAAAAAAAAAAAAAAAAAAAAAAAATTTCTCCTACTTTGAAATATAATAATCAAAAAACGATGTTTTAGTTTATAGAGTGCACAATATTTTCTACCCTCTCATTACATTTTGCCTGGGCCCCCTGTTTTAATATTTGTCACAAATAGTGCATTATTGCTAATACGATTTTAGTTAACTCAAGTATTAATTGATAGATAAGTATGATTAGAAATCACTAATAATTTAGTTTCTACCATATGCTTTTATGTCAGACAGCAGTGTTTCATGTGCTGTAGTTCCTGTGATTGATGCCACTATACTTTTGTTCCTGGGATAAAAGCAAATGAGTCTTTCTGTAAGCCTTATTATATGAAGCCAACCCTGAGTTCATTAAATCCAAATGTCAAGGGGGAGGTACCTATAGGATTACACTGAAATCTATACGTCTACATTTCAATAAGATCTCTAAAGCCTTACTCAAAATTTGCATTGGTCAGTAGAATAACTTTTTATAAATCAGTGGAAACCGTAACTACAAAAATTATGAAATAAGATACCAGCAATAGCATGAAATAACAAAGTGTAAAATTAGAATATATTTTAGAACTGGTTTGTTGGAAAAGTACAGCGAACTAGTTTTTTTTAGCATGTCATGGATTAAACACAGTATTTTTGTTACCAGCACAGTCAGGTTCTAAGTCCCACTCTGCCCCTACAAGGCTGTGAATTTAGACCATGTGCATAACCTCTCCGTGCCTGTGTTCTCATCTTTATAAGGAAAGTAATAGTCATAATCATCACTGCCTCACAGATTTGTGAGGAATAAAGAAGTCACTCTATGAATAACTTTCACAGCTGTGACTTGTACATTGCAAGTATTTTTTAATGGTTATACATGCCAGTCTGGGAAGCCTCTAATGGATGGAACAACCGTAAGTAACTAATTTCTGCATCAGAACTGCTGATACATAGAGAATAGTGTATTTCAGCTGATGTGACAAATGTTGGCCCATCCTCATATTCACATGCAGTATGCTCCTGCTCGGAAGACAAATATCAATAACTGAGAATTGACAGGGTGTTCACCAGGGATTTGGCCATAGGAATGATATTCTTATCACAGACTGTATTTGGAATCCTGGGGAACTTCTCTCTGCTTTACCATTATCTCTTCCTTTATTTCACTGGGTGCAGGTTGAGGACCTCAGATTTCATTGTAGAGCACCTGATTGTAGGCAACATTTTGGTCATTGTCTCTGGAGGAATCCCCTCTACAACAGTGTCTTTTGGGTGGATATATGCCTTCAGTGATATGAAATGCAGATTCTCTTACTATATTCACAGAGTGGGCAGGGGAGTGTCCATTGGCAGCACCTGCCTGTTGAGTGTCTTCCAGGCCATCACCATCAGTCCCAGGAACTCCAAGTGGGCAGAGCTTAAAAGGAAAGCTCCCAAGTACATTGGCCCTGCTATTGTGCTATGCTGGACCCTGCAGATACTAATAAATATCATTTTCCCTCTCTATGTAAATGGAAAATTGAGCAACAAAAACATTACCAACACAAAAGATTTTGAATACTGTTCTTCTATTCGTCAGAATCATACCACAAACTTTCTGTTTGCAGCACTGCTGTCCTTCCCAGATGTGTTCTGTTTGGGGCTCATGCTTTGTGGTAGCAGCTCCATGGTTTTGGTCTTGTACAGGCACAAGGAACGGATGCAACACATTCACAGGACCCATATCTGCCCTAGATCTTCCCCTGAGTCCAGAGCTACTAAAACCATCCTTCTCTTGGTGAGCACCTTTGTCTGTTTTTACTCCCTCTCCTGCATCTTTCAAGTTTATTTGGTTCTTGTTAATAATTCCATCTGGTTTCTGGTGAACACTGCTGGGATAGTTGCTGCATGTTTTCCAGTCATCAGCCCCTTTCTGCTCTTGAGCCGTGACTCCAGTGCATTCACACTGTGCTTTGCCTGGATAGAGAATCCAAAAGCCCCCAATCATATAGGGAACACATGAATTATAAAATTCTGCAAAATATTAAATTGTTTCTTCATTTGTCTCTCACAGAATCACATGTATCAACTGTATAAAATGCAAGTGGTGGTTTACACAAACATGTACACAATGCACAGAGGCACATTTGTACACTATTGTGTGCATGTATATACATGTATGTAGATATGCATGTGTATTATGCATATCAGATTATAGTTGTTATTCATCAAGGTATAACAATATGAAATTATATATAGGACATGCACAATTTAAATTTTAAATACTAACTGGCCAGGCACAGTGGCTCACACTGTAATCCCAGCCCTCTGAAAGGCTGAGGAGGGTGGATCACCTGGGGTCAGGAGTTTGAGACCAGCCTGGCCAATATGGTGAAACCCCATCTCTACTAAACATACAAAAATTAGCTGGACACGGTGGTGGGCACCTGTAATCCCAGCTACTCAGGAGGCTAAGGCAGGAGAGGTGCTTGAACAGAGAGGCAGAGGTTGCAGTGAGCCGAGAGCGCACCACTGCACTCCAACCTGGGCAACAGAGTGAGACTCTATCTGAAATAAATAAAATAAAATAATACTAATTGCAATGATCACAAACCTTGTATGCCATAATGTACATTTTATCTGATATTCATCTTGGCATTGCAGTTGATAATCTTGTTAAGATATGTGTATTTTATTTATTTTATTTGTATTTATATACTTTTATTTTTATGACTGTACTATATCTCTTGAAAAAATATCCAAGTGAAGATAATCAAGCAATATTTCAGTTTGATAGAAGTCATTAGTCTCTTTTGTTTAATATAATAATGGACATACTTGGAGAGCATTTACCAAAATATTGTTTGGTCTTCCTGACACTTGTTCTATTTTCTTAACTTTCTATGTCAAATTTTTTTATATTTATTTAATTCATTTTAAAGATATTGTATTTTAACCTGGTTCTTTGAGTGCTATATATTTAGTTATGTCTACATTTCTACCTAGATGCTACATCGTACTTGTGAAAATAAGCATAGAGTTGTTTAATACATTTACTCTCTATACAGACAATATAAACACTTTCATGTGACTCTATTTGCTTCTTACAATTCACCATTTAATTGTTGATATGTATTTTTATAAATTTATGTCCAGGTCATGAATCCACTGTTCAACAAGCTTCACAAACTAAGCACATCTTCCTATACAGATCTTTTATTAAAGCCTGGGGGGTGCCTCCTTATACCCATATCAGTTACTGTTTCCACAAGTGACCACTATTTCTTTTTTTTGAGACAGAGTCTTGCTCTGTTGCCCAGGCTGGAGTGCAGTGGTGCAATCTCAGCTCACTTTAACCTCTGTTTCCTAAGTTCAAGCAATTCTCCTGTCACAGCCTCCTGAGTAGCTGGGATTACAGGTATGCACTACCAGGTCTGGCAAATTTTTGTATTTTTAGTAGAGATGGGGTTTCGCCATGTTGGCCAGGCTGATCTTGAACTCCTGACCTCAAATGATCCTGCCGCCTTGGCCTCCCAAAGTGCTGGGATTACAAGGGTGAGCCACTGGGCCTGGCTGAGTGACCACTATTGCTACATCAAACAATATAGTTCAGTTCTACCTACTTATATTTATATAAATAAAATGATTCAGCATGAATTCTTTTGTATATTTGTATTTTAAGAATTTATGTATTTGGAAATTTTGCACGTTGTTAGTAATAATATTTGTGTGTTGAATCAAACAAATAATTCAATCTTTCCTTTTAATGTGAATGTGAGTGGTTTTAAGTTTGAGGCTATCATGAAACAAACCTGTGTGAAAGCCCTACATCATGTTTTGGTGATATATACATGGATTTCTGTTGGGTATATATGAAATAGTGGACTTGCTGGGTCATAGTTTTCTATCTACTGAGCTTTAGGAGGTATTGCCAAACAATATTCCAAAATGTTTGCACAAATATTATAGCCGGAAGATGCTTCTAATTTTAATATCATATTATTTGTTATGTTACTCTTCAGGGTTTATATTTTCTGTCTGTTAAAAAGTATTTTCTGCCGGGCGCAGTGGCTCAAGCCTGTAATCCCAGCACTGTGGGAGGCCAAGGCGGGTGGATCACGAGGTCAAGAGATCGAGACCATCCTGGTCAACATGGTGAAACCCCGTCTCTACTAAAAATACAAAAATTAGCTGGGCATGGTGGTGCGTGCCTGTAGTCCCAGCTACTCAGGAGGCTGAGGCAGGAGAATTGCCTGAACCCAGGAGATGGAGGTTGCGGTGAGCCGAGATCGCGCCATTGCACTCCAGCCTGGGTAACAAGAGCGAAACTCCGTCTCAAAAAAAAAAAAAAAGTATTTTCCTATCATAACAAAGATATTCTTGTGTTGTTGTTGTTTTATAAAAAATCATTTTGTGCCTTTACAATTTACATCAGCAATTCATTCAAAACATATTTGTTACAAGTGCAGTTATGATTGAAATGTCGTGTCAAGGGAATAAATCTCAATTAATTCTGAAAATGTTATGTTTGGCTTTCATTTTATTTGTTATTTGTCATTACTTCACGGAGGTTAACCTTGCTTTTATTTGGAACTGACTCTTCTGTCAAGGTTCCTAGTCATTTTGTCTAATTTTGTCTTCTGTAGTCTTTAAAACTCCACTGCACCATACAATCAAGGTTCATCTTCATGTCAAAATCTTCAATGTGAGGGAATAATGGGAAGGTGGTAGAATAGGAAAGACCAGGAATTCTTCTTCCCATTTAGGCAACAATTAAACTGACAGAATCTGTCTGATGTAAGTATTTTGCAATTTCAAAGTATTTTGAAGGCTTTTATCTGTCACTGAAAAGCAAGCTTGGGTAGTAAATTACAGCTACGTTCAAAGATACCAATCTTGCCATTCCCAGACACATGGCAGGCAGGGATACATGTGTTCCTGCCACAGCTTGTAGGCATCTTGGAGAAGCCAGCATGTGAAATAAGAACTCTAATCTCCAAATATTCAGGACTTGTGTTCGAATTGTTCATTAATGATTGTGGTCAGGGTGGCGCCAACATAGAGGCAGGCAGCCATTGTTGCACCCACCTCCCACTGTTGAAAACCTCTTCCACTCTCCAATGATTTAAATGGCCAGAATCTTTTATTCTTAGTTCCATTTTCATCCTTCATTTTTCTCATTCAACCTTTTGGAATACACACATTTAAGATCTAGGGTATTCAAAAGAGATTGCATATAAGGGGTAATTTAGGAAATCACCCTGCATGCTAAGGGAAAAGCACCGGGTTAGAAAACACCTGAGCAGACTTTAAGTTTACACCTCAGTCTGAGCTGAGCTTGGAACACACAAAACCTACAACAATCAGGAAATCAAAATAAAACTAAGCAAACTGGGGAAAGGGAAAATGTGATTTACAGGTTACCATATTATTAGATTCAAATGCCTAGTTTTTAACTGCTATGGTTTGAACGTGTTCCCATAAAAAGCATTGTGGAAACTAAATCCCAATGTAACAAGGGTAAGAAGCTGGACCTTATCTCATGAGTGTGTTCATTCTTGTGGAAGAGATTTCCTTACAGCAAGATGATGTGATGGTTAATACTGAGTGTCAACTTGATTGGATTGAGGGATGCAAAGTATTGATTCTGGCTGTGTCTGTAAGAATGTTGCCAAAGGAGATTAACATTTGAGTCAGTGGGCCACGAAAGGCAGTTTTTGAAGTCTGATCCTCCCAGAAATCAGAGCACACAGAGAGCGCAGGCATTGGAAGAAAGCAGAACCTGGACACTTCGCCCATTATATGCTCTCCCCATCCACTGTAATTACAGGAGAATGGAGTCAATAACAAGTCTTTTCCATTGGGGGTTCTATTGAGCTACAGTGGAAGGAGTACTCGTTGGTTTGGAAGTGGAATTTCCTGGTCAAAACTTTGGACATTTTTTTCATTTCCCTATGGCACAGAATCTACCAGTGAGAAGGCACATTGCCTGCGTTTCTTGTAGGAATATTGTAAATCCCATGGACGACCCTGTATGAGCAAGCACTCAGAAAAGGTAAAGCACTGCACACATGTGAACCTTCATACCATAATCATAGACCTTGTAACCTTGCATCCTCAATGTGATGCTTTCAGAATCTAAAATTACAAGACTGTATCTACTAAGGCTTCTTTTTCCATCCTCCTAAAAATTCCTTTTTTCCTACTTTACACATCAGTCAGGCTCTTACTTCCTGACTGTGGAGTTTGTCAGAAAAAAATCGGAGGTACCATAGCACCTTCCTTTTCTTTCCTGAAACTACCTCACATCTCGTACTCCCGTTTACATCTCCATTTCTAGACATGTCTATGTGATTTTAGGTCCCAAATAAAGCTTAACACTGTCCCTTATTCTGCAAAAGTCATGTTATCTTGGGCATTGCTGTTTCTTGGCTGGAGCATCTTAGTTTGTTTAACAGCAAACAAATTTGTCCTCTACTCTAGAAGGTGACACTTTGTCTATCTTCCATGTGGTCTCCAGGTGTTGAGGGAAGGGAAGGATGACTAGGTGGAGCTTCAAGGAATTTTGAGGCAGTGAAGCTAATGTATAGGAGAGCATAACACTGAATACATGTCACCACATACTTGTCAAAACCCACAGAATGTCCAATACTGAGAGGATTCAGTAATGGATACTGTGGGCTTGGCTGAAAATGAAGTGTCAATGCAGGTGCATCAGTTGTAGCAAGTGTAATATTCTGGTATGGGACTTTGGTAAGATTGAGGCTGTGAATGTGTCAGGTAAGGAGGATAAGAGAAATTGCTGTATTCCACTAAATTTTGCTGTGAACCTAAAAATATTCTACAAAATAAAGTCTATTATTAAAATAGAACAAATGCTACAAAACCCGTTCATTACCCTTGGCGTAGGAGGCAGTATGAGCATCCTGAGTGCCTCAGTTTTGCTTGATCTCTTCCCACCACAATTCCAATAGAAA